TAGCCATTCTGTGTGTGTGTGTGTGTAATTGCATATAGTGCTTGCTATAGCTGAACTGTTCTCCATATTTCTTATCTCATTGTAGGTTAACTTATCTAGATTCTGCTAAGTTTCTGTGTTCCGTTAGTCTGACTGACTGACCCCATTCAACTACTTTGACCTATATATGTCCAAACCAAGTTCACTTTTAACGGTTTGAAAAAATTTGGGCATTGGGTATATGATATTCATTATAATAAACCTTTATTATACTTTGACCTATGTATTTGGATTTGAAGGTAGAGGCAATTAACTTACGAATCGGCAAGTCAGAAAGACGAGCTTCTAATGTTATATTGTAGTGTAAAAAGGAAAGAAGATGAGAAGTTAAACACACTGGTGTGTTTACAGGAAACCCACACACATTCAAACAGATATTTGAACTTCCGATCATCCCATCCTATGTCAGTAAAAATAGGATTGGTGAAATGTTTAAGTAATAGAGCACAAAAACTAAGTAGTATCAAGGAAAATCTAAGACAGGAAGTGAGGCATATAAGAGGAGAAGCTTTGAAACTTAATAATTACCCTGATAAATTAATCGGGAGGTATGTAGGGGGAAATGTAAAAATAAAATAACAATAGTGGTGACAGTGATCATCATAGTAATAATATTAGTGACGACATGCATATCCAATATGCACAGAATGATGACAACACCAACAATAAGGAGTTTAAATCCTCATCAGTAGTACTCCATACAAAGAAGGAACCTCGAAAACCACCTTACGCGGAATTCTTAACAGTGCAGGAAAGAATAAAAGTGGTTAGCATTCAAGCTGCCCACAAACTCAATTATTAAATAAGCTTTTTTAGTTAAAGGATCCTGCTGTGGAGCCAATTAGACAAACAAATCAATTCAGTGCATCTAATAGCCTGCTGGGATGATTTTCAGGTCAAAGTAGTAGAATGGGGTCAGACTAAAGGACCAGTTAAACCTTCATTGAGATAAGAAACCTGAAGAATAGTTCAGCCATAGGAAGGACTACATGCAATTGCACACAACGCAACCCTTCGATAGTAAAGTCATATATCCACGAATCGTATTTGCACACGTTAATTATCCTGTGATTGATCGGTGAGTTCCTCAAGTTTAAGCTTTTTTGCTGTCATGACCCCGATTCGGGACGTAAATTGTTGTCTACAATTTTGGCTTGCAGACAGCTTTCACCACACTGTATGACTCAACGATCTACCTGCTTGAGTATTACTACTACTGCTGTTAACCACTGGGCATAAGTTCGAGTCTTCATCCATCTGTCGAAGTTTTAACAGTCAGATAGCAGTAATAAATGTGACCGATTGCTGTTAACTGTATAGACAAACAACTGATTTTCTTTCCCTAATGTTTGACTCTTTTATTATTATTTCCTTTAGTTCCTAGAAGAACATAGGGCTTCAGCCATGCGTCTCCATTGCGTTCTGTTCTCTGCTAGAGTTTACACCTGGCTCCAAATCTGCCCATACGCTTTCAATTCTTCTTCACATTATCTCCTCCAGGTCACCCTTGGACTCTTTTATTAATTAAGTACAATCATTACAATACGTATACTTTGTAATGCTTTAAATGGTCAGAGTCTTAAGGACAACTTAATTCTCAGTCGATCGATACATATGTAGTAATTTCAAGTTGTACACTCCATTTACTTTTAAACTGTAGAGGTTGTAACTTATCTGGTTTAGTGGTCAACTTTCAAGCAATGTGTCTTCATGGAATGAAATCTTGGCTCACCTGCTGCAGCTTCAGCTGCATTATCCCCCCCCCCCCCCTGAATTCTAACAACCACGGATGCTAAATGAGTTATATTCGACTGTTGGTTTGTAGGCACTGACACGTCGTCAGTTAGAGAACTATGGGGTCAAACCCTGGACCTTTATTTCATGAGGCCACTGAACTGACAATCATTCAGCCAGTGAGTGAGATGGCATGTAACTATTCCTAATGTCTACTGTCAGTCAATATCATCGGTGGATATGTGTCCTCACACAGCCGACTTTGTGGACTCCACAGTTTTCACTAGTTCATCTTCATTCTGTCAGTCAGTCAGTCACAAAGGAGCATCAGATTAATTTTCAGGATTTCATCATGAACTGACGTCGATTAGAGGACCACTGTAAAACCTGTCTGCATTGGACAATTGTTTCCTCCGTCCTAGTTTGTAACTCTTCATCAGTACGCACTCACTGAGGTTCGAACCCCAGGACCTTCTGGTTACAAGGCGAGCTCGCACTACTGAAGAGTCGCAAAGTAGGAAATAAAACGGCTGGCTGGCTGTTCAATACTCCCAGGGTTTTCCATTGTCCCCGTAACCGATGTCAGTTCATGGTGAAATCCTGAAACCAATCAAATTTCTGCAAAACAACACCTAAATTTTCAGGTGTTTGGTTTGTAGTCGTAATGAAAATAAATGTATAAAATACTTCAATTTATTTGAGAGACAAAAAGTGGCTTTGTTAGTGTCATTTCACATTCCATCGATTTGTTGCAACTCTTTTCTGATGAAATACTTCTAGCTTGCTTCTCTCATCGTTGCTGGTATTTTTGGTGTGCGTCCTGTATGTGTGTGCTCGTGTGTCTGTAACTCTAAGTGTTTGTCATCGGCCTTTTATCACATAATTATTGTTACGTTTGCTGGATGTTCTCATAGAAAAGTATCACGGAAACTAATTACGCTACAATATCGGACCGATTTATGCGCGTCTGTTCACGTGGTCTGGAATCTGATTGGTTGATTTTCCTATTAATGTGTTATTATTATTATTATTAATACCTTGGGTTCCGAATGGAACACGGTTTCAACAGGATATCCCCATTCCATTGTGTTCTATGTAGTCATCTTCAGCTGACTCCGCGATTGTCCATAGCCTCTCATTTCCTCCTCCTCTTCTTCTCCACACATTCTTCTTCATATCACCATCTCACGGACGCCAAACTAAACATCGTCCATTTCTTTGCTTCTCATATGGGTTCTACTCGAGAACCTGGCACGCGATTTCAGTCAATATACCTTTCTCCTCAGCATATATATTTTTTTGGGGTGGGAGGGCGATAGGTTCTTCGTTTGTTCGTTCCCAGAATCTCTTGTTATTAATCCTTTCTGACTGGTCATCTAATCTTCAGTATGGAACGATTTCAGCTGTTGATAGAAGTCTTCAGCATCAGACTGTTGGATAGGCTTATCGCGATGTTCATTGCTAAGTCTCTGAACCATGTAGAAAAAGTGGCTTAATCTAAGTATTGAAAATCCGAATAATTTTATTCTAATAAGAGCTTTAGATGCTGTTGGTGTGACATCACGATGTGACAGTGCAACAAGAGAAGACAAGGGCCAGGCAACAGATCGTTTATTAAGGAAAATCAACACATATTTATAGATTTTAATGTACATTATTGTAGATTGTTGTTAGTAGAAAAAACAGTCATTTGATTGGTTGTTTCTCACAGAAAGTTAACCTTGCATCTCTTTGTGGCTGTGTCAGATCATCCATATGCTAACTGTACTCGCCTACGCAAAGCCTTTGTTTTCATATTCTCACCACCAATATTGGGGACATAAACATTGACGTCAATTACTGTCTGCCAATTTGGCTAGCAGCCATCTCTCACCACAATAGTATTATGGAGTCGTCTTCGCCAATATGTTATGGTGTGACCGAGTAGTGTAAATATGCTCTAATGAGATATATATACGGACGATAACGTACAGACTACTGGTATTGCTGAGTAGTTAATTTGTCGTGACGCGAAGAGGAAAATCAGAAGCCCCCCTCCCACGTTCACGAAGATACGTGTATTCTTCAACAAGGAAACTAACTGTCATACAAGAGTGTGAGTGGAAAAGTACGAAACAGTGGATGGATTAACTGTACACTACAATAGTATAAATGAAAATAACTAACATACATGAACTAGTAAGCCAGACAGGTAGTTTTTCTTACCACCACTGGATTCTGATTGGTTGTAATGTCATGTGACAAAAAGGTCATACATCGTTTATTTATTTGATAGACAAACAAGATATATTGTGAGTTATAATAGAATAAAAATCAATAAACACATAGCAAAATATATCAGACTGGCAAAACAAAACAAAAATCATGTGACTACATGCCAGATAGCTGCTCACTCCACTAGACAATTTGGAGAGTCCCTATCTATTCTGAGGAGCGTTCCCAGCTTCCGGCAGTAGTCCATGTCCCCTTGCTTTCACTTTTACTTTCGTCGAAAAAAGATACTTCAGCTGATTGGCTTCTCAAAGGCATGATTTCACCAGCCTCTCTCTCTGCAGTTCCAGTACCAGCGAAGAATAAGTTTATTTTCTGTAATTTCGCCTTTCTTTCACATGTCTCTGGCAAATGGGTTGATTTTCCGCGGTAGGGTCGCTAGCCTAACGCCTTAACCTCTTCTCTTTTTTTCTGGATTTAGGGCCAGCTAGTAGAAA